GTGTTCTGATACGACGACGATTGACCGAGAGAGCCGGGAATATAGCCTGTATTCTGCTGCCCGATCAGTTGGACCGAGTGCTGCCTGCTTAGGTTGTCGACAGAGTTTCAAGTAGTGAGCGGATTGGGCTTTGTCAGGTTTGTTACGTTACGTTGGGAGCTGGGAATTACTAACACATGGCTCCATGGGCTTTGGAATGTGCTCGACGCGGACGCTGGCTTGCTGGCCCTTTGATTGGGTACGGCGGCATTGCAAATTTTCGGACTTTGCTAGCCAGAGGGAGTAGACAGATATCGTATTTCTCTTCGTGATGTCCGGTGGACATTCGATCATTGACCGTGTCCTCAAGGCCTCGTATCAGATTCGGTGCCATACTCTCCGGTTTTTTTTAAAAAAGCTAACCAACTAATTCATTGAAAATCTGAATATGGAATTATCTTATATCGGCTTGGCCTGGTAACCCTTTCTATGTGCCAGGGTTAGGTTTGAATTTAACCCTTGTTTTCATCATAATGGCTCGATCTTCAGGGATCCGGATACTGCATGCGCATAACTCTATCGACTTTCAGCTGCCTGCTCTATATGCACGCTTCCCCGTACTTTTATGTATGGGATCTTGGAAACCCGGTAGACCGTAGTAATCTCAAATTGCACTCCAATTTAAACACGAAACCTGCTCTACTGACGTCGAGGTCTGAGATCTATGTCTAGGAAATTTACAGTACTACCACTTCTAGATGTATATATCATCATAGAGCGGAGTTAATATCGGGGAATGCTAATCATTCCCCCCTACTATATAGCTATCTCTAGATGTAGGTAAATACTTAAATAGTTGTCACTATACACTTCCGGCAGTTAACCATAAGCCTTCCCCTCCTCCTCCTCAACCCATCCGTGCCTCTGCATACAAGTCTACGTATGAATCCTTCAATACTAATCCCCAAAATCTTCCCGCACAAACCCTATCACATTACCAACCCAACACATAAAAATACCCTCAGGCCTAGGGTTAGGGCTACTCATCTACCTCCCTACTCACCACCCACCTACGGCCACCCACCAAACTTATAAAACTAAAAAGCCAAAAGATCGATCATCGTCCCAAACAAAACATTCCACCCTAGGGTACTGTTGTCCTGTTGCCAGCTAGCAAGAAGCTTGTATGTATATACATAAAGCAAGTGTGGAGGAGCCCCGGAAAGCACCCTTGCGGCGTTGAAAGATCAGATATGCAGTGAATCGGGGGGGCCTAAATCTTCTTCTCTTTGCAACCCCAGGATTGTGGAAACAGCGAGTGATGGGAAGTGACGCTGCCATGTCAATTCCATATAGGACTCGACAGGGGTGTAGTGACTCCAGTTACTTTGGTCCATGGTCTAGTCCACCGGTGCCTACTTCAGGCCTTAAAGTTTTAAAACCTTGGGCGCGCGGGGGGTTAGTTCGTGTCATAAGGAAAAATTTTCCAATTGTAGATGAGGCTAGCTTTGCGGGGGTAAAGAAGAGAGAAAAAAATTTATTTCAGTTTCAATTCTCCGGAGGCCGCGGGGTTAGTTATTTAGGAATAGTAACCCTAGTCCACTAGGATCACGTGTGAGAGGTTGTCGTCATGGGGTGTCACTCGGTTGTTTTGGTTGTACATACATGTAGTTGTGGGCCGGTGGTGGGAACTGTTATTACTTGACGCTGCTCGATCCACACAATTGGAGTTTCTGGCAGTAGTTCGGAATATTATGTGATTGCGGTATTGAGAGTGTCTTTTGGAGCTGGTGTTAGTCGCCCTTTGGAATTTCTGTGGGGCCGTTGAGTAGTTGGCTGTCATTTGAATCTGGGCAAGAGGTTTTACCCCCACATGCATAAGTGCTCCGTGACATGTAGTTATCCACCTAGTCACCTATCCACCTGCCAACACCCACCAGCTCCTACACATCCACACACCCACACACCCAAATCTCTACCCCACGGCCACGTGCACTGCATGTTATCCTCCCCCACGATCGTCTACGAGAGCTATAAACCCCTAATTCCCACGCCACTCTTTACCTCCGGGTTCTGTAAGTCGGGCTGCGTTTAAAATTGGGTTGGCTTCGTCCATCCCATATCATTTATTAAGGTCTACTACCCCACTAATATCCCGTTAATGTTGTCGTCTATACTCCCATCCGTATAAATATCAATCTCTATCTCCCATTTGTATCATATAGTAGCCCGGGTTATGTAGTCCCTGTAGACTCAAGGCTCAAGGCCGGCGCGGGCTCATGCACTTTCTCTTCGCAATTGGTTCCTGGTAACGGGGAGCGAAGAGATGAGATCTAGACTCACGAGGTCTCTTTTGCCTGCTTACAGCCTCTAATTGACACATTTCTTTGGCTCGCGGGGTGGCTCATTCTTGGCTTGTGGGCTCTTATTTAGCTCGTTGGCTCGTTGGCTTTTTTTGGGGGGTTATGGGCTCTTCGGGGCCTCTTCGAGGATTTCTTACGAACTCTAGGGATCTTTTGCTTTTGTCTTATTTTCGTGTCCCTTTTAGCCCCCTAGGTGACTTATGGGGTTCTACTTTACTTATAATTTGTAGGCTTCTTTTGTTGAATGGAGTATGAGTTTGGCCTCTTGTGCATTTTTCTTTCTTTTTGACTTCAGAGTGTGGTATGTAGTTCCTCGCTTCTTTTTCTATCTCTGTTCTGGCTCCTCAGGTCCTGGCTTGTAAGCCTTTATTCTTCTGGATTGTGAGTTTTGTTGGTCTCTTAGGCCGTTAGTTTCATGAGATCCGGAGCTCTGACTCTGCCCTTTATTCCATTTTACACCGCTACATGCTTTTGAAGAAAGACCCTCCTTCATTATCCCACCAAATACCCATAGAAATAGCCATTCCGGTCCTCAGCAACGCTAACTAGTACTGCCTATACCGCACCGTAGACATCGGGTTGCTATAGTAGCTACCCGCACTACCGGCCGGCTTTCAGGTAATAGCAGCGGGCACCGGAGAGCTATAGCTACCTCCCTACCTCGAACTCCCGGGTTGCCATAGCAACCGCCGACATCCGCACTACCGGTCGTGAATTAGTAGCATCGCCGGTACAGGCTTTCAACCAGTAGCAGTGCCAGCCCGGAAATACAAATGCATAGAAAAGACGCCCGCTGTATAACGTCTGATGTCTTATAATCTAGTAGCCAGGTAGATATACACAGGAGGACAACGATAATCTCCTGAGAATACCGTATGTTGGAGGATTGGTTGGAGTCTATGATATTGAGTCTATGCCCACACATTTAAATAGCGTTTGATATCCGGGCGGTGGTATATATGGGATTTGGCTAGAAAAACAACAAAGTCATCCTCGTGGTGGTGTCTCGAATTGGGTACTATATTATAAGGAATACGAGTGTCAGATGAGCATGAGAGCGTAATTAAGCTTAAGTACTACGGAAAAGGTCTAAAATGACATAGCTTTTGGTAAACACGCTCTACAATAACACATGGTGCAAGATAACACCGTTCGATATGATCTAAAATGAAAGAATGTGATCGAGCTATTGAATATTATGGATGGCTGAGCATTGACATGGAAGGGTTATTCGGGGTTCTGCTCCATCTTGGCACACCGCCAAGATCAATCATATATCACTTCCAGCGCAGCATCCACCATGGGCGAGTGGTCTAGTGGTTAGACTGCTCGTCAGGTTAGACACCGAGTGTTTACCCAGGATACACACAAGGTCCTGGGTTCAAACCAGGGGTGGGGGTAGTAACGCACAATCAGTAATAAGTCGTTGCAGTACCTTTTGTTCTTTTTTTTGTTTTTGTTTTTTTAATTTGGAGTGAAATAAATTAGGAGGCTATTTTGATTTTTTTTTTTTTTTTGATTTTTCTAAAGGAGGAAGGGGTGAGTGGTAGGGCTAGGAATCAACCCTCATTACGATCTACCGCCGAAAACTCATGTCATTTTAGACCTTTTCCATAAACACCAATCAATCAATTACTTCGAGCTAGTAGCTCGTATATCAGCCCATTGACCCCATTACGCTCTCATATGAACAATCAATATACCATAGGAACTCTGTACCGAGTTGTCACCTTCTGGTGTACTCATAAAAACGAGTTTGAAGATGTGATGTTATTAGGATCTTGGCATAGAAACAATATATTGGCTTTAACCCTAACCCTGGTATGCATATTTTAGTAGTTTACGATTGGAAGTTTGTTAAAGCATTGGGGTGCATGTATTTATTAGTTGATCGGGGTATTATTGTATTCCGGTATTGGATAATTGTTATTGTTCATCAGAGAGCATTATTCTTTCCTTGACGATTTGAGAGCACATTCGCAGGGTCTTTTCACTCAGCATAACAACGTTCAAGAGTAGAGCTTCAATTGAGTTGAGTTTCAAGGTAGTAGCCCTCTCTGGGCTCTGGACGGCTACGAAAGCATCACCAGAAGGGAGACATTACCCTTACGATCAAACCAAAGCCTAGGGATATCTTACACCCAACTCTAAACTCCCACTCGCGACCCCGAATACCACAGCCATGCCTGGTACTCGTCCCCTAGTTTCTGTATGGTACGGGCTCAGGCTGGTAGACTCCCGCTTTTTTTGTTCCCGAGAATGATGCGGCAATTATTCGCGTTCGATCACAACACATTGTTCGAAAAAATGTTGCATTACACCTCCCCAAGGTATCTATATTACTCCGTGACTCTATTCCCTCGCTTCCTCCCCGATTGTCCATCCGTTGTCCGTCTTTGTCCATCCGTTGTCCGTTTGAGGTGCTGTAACAAAGCTAGTTAGCTACGGTGTATGTAGGTAGGCCGCGTGGGTGGTGGATGCTTGCTTACATTACGCCGAAACCGTTTCCGCGGTACGTTATCGTCCAAAGCGCAAAAGACATTATTAATCAAGCCCCCTAGTATCCCCCCCTAGTATCCCCCCCTCCACCCCCCTTCAACTCCCCTCCCACCGCCAACAAATTAAAAGTAAAAAATCGAGAAAAAAGCGAGTGTTGGTCTAGTTATTCACCACCGGCTTCACAGTCGTAAACTTCGTCGGGTTCTTGTCCAGGAAGCGGCCCATCATTGTGCTGTTGATGGCGTAGCAGAGCCACACGTACGAGATGCCGGCGGCGGCGACGGCGAGGACGGCTTGTGTTGTTGTGAGTTCCATTGTGCGGTGTGTGTGGGAGGTTGTGAGTTGTGGGAGGTGGAGGCGTGTATGGGGAGGTTGTGAGGATTGAGGTGGGTGTGGGAGGTGGTGAGGTGTTATATGCGGCGGGAGCCAAGACAGTAAGCAGCGTGGATTGGCACTGCTGACAATCTGTGGGCTGATATGCGGCTGCGGACGCTCCGGGTGGTGCAATTGGATGTGGTGGTGAGGCCTAGGGGGATCCTGGTAGGGGCTGAGCTGTTGATACTGCTCGTACTAGAGTAGCTAGCTATTTGGGTGCAGTGGAATGGAGGAGAATTGGCTGGCTTTTGGAGGTTATGGCCATTGGAAATAACATTTCAATTCTCAATTCCAGCTCTCGAATCCCCAATTGAAAACTCATGCGCACTGCAAAATAGTAGATTCCCGGGATTGGTAGCTTGTTTACCCCTATTACCTAATCAGCGCTAGGACGCGGCGGTGGTCTTAGTTAGAATGTGGGTACCTGACAAGGTCGAACGAGAACTGGTGATCTGAGCTTGGTTCTGGAAAAGATGGTACCATGGTGGGATAGGGACGTGTTCGTGTTCGTATTAAGATAGTAGAGTAACAACACCCCTATATGTCTGGACGCTTTGTGGATGGTAGCTGCTCGGCCATCTTGGAATGAGTAGAGTAGGTATGACGAGACTGTGGAAAGAGCTGTAGAACGTATGATTTAAGGTTAATTAAGCTGTGCTGATGGCTTGTTGGCCCGCTGTGTAGCCAGATATAAGCATTCCAAATGCGGACTAGCTTGGCCCAAGTATACAGCGCTATACCGGGATGGGATGGCGAGTGATTGGCTGTGAACATCGATGGGTCAAATATGTATTTAGATCTGGCTTTTGGGGATAAAGAACAGATGTGTGGTGGTACATTCTATACGGTCTATACTGACGATTTAAAATGGGAATCTCTCTTCCCAAGAAAATTTCTTCATTGTTAACCTTCTGGCGGGAAGCCTTCGATGACGACATTTGGATCTACGGAGTTCTTTGGCGGGTAAGATCAATCATGCTCTGCTGGATTTCTCTCTTAGATCTTGTTAGAGGCAGAACATGATCTTCTTGACGTAGCGAGGTACCTACATGTACATATACCCCTAATCGAGCTTGGGTTGTTCTACTTGCAGACATGTGGGTGTCCACGACATCTTCGAATGAACCGTAAAAGCAGATTGGGGCTGAGAACATAATAGAAACTTTAGGCCAACGATCAATTTTGAAAATTACTATTTGCCATCTAGTAAAACTGTTCCCGCAACTAGCAGTTTTGAACCCATTTTTGTATGGGGATCGACATGAAATGATCAATTTCGCTACCCGCAACCACAGTTTTGCAATCAGCATTTTTTCAAAATTGATTGTTGGCCTAAAATTTCTAATCTGAGAAAAATACCACCCCTAGTCCATGGACTTGGCGCGTTGTGTTAATATTGTCTATGCCATGCAATAGACGTCAGCAACAGCACTTTCATGCCATGCACACTCCTTAAATACCAAGAATATCCCCTTACCCGGGGCTATAGCTCAACAGAACAACAACAACGGCAACCACAAAGATGAGACTTCTAATCATCTTCAGTTGTCTTATCGCGTTCTTCCTGGCCCGTTGGTTCATCCTGCTCCGACGCAGTCTCCAGGCAGCAAAAAAGACCGGCCTTCCATATATCTGTAGACCACTTCACCAAGGAAACCTCGCCTACCTGTTGTGGATGCCCATCCTTGACTGCTTGATAGACTACCTGCCAGACTGGCTCGCGACAATCCTGGACCCCAGAGACTATTCGGGCGTCTACCGTAACTGGCGGTTCAAAGCAGGATATGAAAACCATAGTGTGCTAGGGGATGTGTTCTTAGTCGTGTCCCCAGGGTTCCTGGCCCTTGAGGTGGCCGATCCGCATGTGTGTGCTCAGATAACGGATAGACGCATGGACTTTGTTAAGGATTTTGATTTATATCGTCTGTGGTTGGATTGATCCTCGATTTTTCATTATATATGCTGATTGTTACTTTCCTTTCAAGTGCCGTTACGTGTATTCGGCCGCAACATCATCGAGGTACTTGATCTTTTGAAAGTGCTTATAGAGAGCAAATGCTAAGCTTTAATCAACAGACCGAAGGCGAGACCTGGAAAAGACATCGCCGCGCTGTTACGCCGCGATACACTGATGCCATTCACACATTCGTCTGGGACCAAGCAACCATTTTAGGAAGGGAAATGCTCTCGGAATGGAAGCATCTAGTAGATACAAATACGCCTATTCAAGCGCCATATACTTCGCGTGAATTCAGAGATCTAGGAACGTTGGCTAACCGCGTCGTTATGGCTGCCGGTAAGCCGACATCAAAAGAAGGCTCAAGAAATACGTTCTAACGGTAATATATAGTGTTTGGTGTCTCTTTGTCATTTAGAACAGGGCAATCCCCAGAAGAGCTGGCAGTGTCTGAATTTGCCCACTCTATGGAAACCATCAATGCAGGTCTTCGCCTTGTGTTGATGTTTCCACAATTGATAATGCCGTACGTGCCGGGTATTGGTCACCTATCGAAGGCGATGAATCATGTCACTTTATATATGACAAACTTTCTGGACTGCCACATAAACGAAAAAAACAAGCTCGAGCCCTCTACTAAAGTCGGCATATTGGACGGCCTGATGAACGCATTGGCACCGCCAGGCACTGTACCAACAGAAGTCCAGTTATCACGCAGCGACGTGATTGGAAACATGTTCGCATTAGGATTCGCTGGCTCAACAACGTTGACAGACACCATGCACTTTTCCATAGTTCTGCTTGCCCTCTATCCCAAAGTGCAGCTCTGGGTCATGGAGGAGCTGGACCAGTTTGTGACCGAGTATGGGCAGCAGAAGGACGGGTGGAAATACCACAAGGTGTTCCCCAAGCTGGTCAGGCTTTCATGTGTCCTGGTAGGTACTTTCAATATAAGCCATCCAAACCAGAAACTAGATCTGACTCTCTCAACACACAGATGGAAACGCTGCGCCTCTTCCCCGCAGTTCCCATGATCCCAAAGTACGTCGAGGACAAGCCCCAAATCCTCAGCTACAAAAACGACACCTTCACCCTTCCGCCCCAAACAAGGATCGCGCTCTCCGCCTGCGCGCTACACCGCAACCCACACGTATGGGGGGCCGACGCCGACAAGTTCCGCCCCGAGCGGTGGCTCGCTGACGACTCAAAGTCCCTACGTCCGGAGCCGGTAGAGGGGAGCTTCGTTGGCTTCAGCCGTGGAGCAAGAAGGTGCCTCGGCAGGCGGTTTGCAGAAGTGGAGTATACAGCCGTGCTGTCAGAGATTTTACGAAGCTGCAGGATCGAGCTGGCGCCTGAGAAGCCGGGCGAGACAATGGAGGAGATGAGTCTCAAGGTAAAGAAAATGTTGGAGATGAGCAATATAGATTTTACGATGCATGTTGGTGGGAGGGTGCTGCTGAGATTTGTCGAGAGGTTTTAGTTGCTCTGAGAGTTTTTTTTTTTGGTTAGGTATTTTTGAGAGTGGAGTGTTTGGCAGATGGGATATATGCAGGGATGGGTTAGGGTTGGTTTGTTTGTTTGTTTTAATCCATTTGGCCAATTAGGACTGTATTCTAAAACAGATCGATCAATTTCCCTGAATTAGCGCTATCTCGTCTGTGACAGATCTAAATACATTGAATTGGTCTCACCCCCTACCTGTCTAGCACTAAGAGGGTAGAACATGTCCGGGAGACCGAGATTGGCCGACCCCCTCACGCTGTAAACCCTCGGGCAGCTTTTGAAAACGATGTCGAAGAGCACTGATACAAGTTCTTTACTATACTTGCGTGTCCGTGGTGGAAAGAAAATGTATCTTTTTCTTGGGCGGAATTTCGGTCATGGTGTATCACTCGGGGGTTCTTGGCGGCGGTCTGCGGGCTCCCATAAGGTGAGACCGGGTACGAGGGTCGATTTAAAGGAGGATGATGGTCACAAGGAGGAGAAAGAGAAAGAGAAAGAGAAGGAGCAGGAAGGAAGGGAGGAAAGTTCTGATCATCTGTACAGTTCATTTTTTCGTGGTCGTAACGTAGCCCATACATACAATGTCATCATCATCGTCATAGCCATCAGCCGAAAAGAAAGAAAAGAAAGAAAAGGTATATACAAGGCAATAACAAGACAGAAAAAGAAGAAGAAAGGAAGAAAGAAAAGAAAAGAATGGTATGTATAGACAAACGAAACTCCCGCATCACACTCCATCACTCGCATCACTTTTTCATCTCCTCACACCACACACCACACACCACACAACCCTTAAGCCAAAGTAGCGCTCAAAGGCAACTTCCGACTCGAACTACCCACCTTCACAGTCCTCTCGATATCCAGCACGACCCAATCGCCCTTCACCGTGTCCCACCTTGCCAGATCCCTGTTATTCAGGTGCATGGTAACCGTGGTGCTCTGACCCGCGGGAATGCTGACCTTCTCGAAGCCCCTCAAGACATTGATCGGGTCATCTTCCAGGTCAGTGCTGATATACAGCTGGGCAACCTCCTCGCCGCCGCGCGAGCCGGTGTTGCTGATCGTTGCCGAGACCTCATAGATGACGTCGTAGAGCGAGGGATTACCGCCAGGCGCGCCACCGGCCGCCGGGATGGGCTGCGGCGAGGTGTCGTATGCGCCTTCGGGCGCCTCGTAGGTGGAGTCCGATGGGATGGCGGTGGCGTTGTCGAGGTAGGGGTAGACGAACTTGGTGACCTTGACGAGGCCCTCGGGGAAGGTGTAGTCGGCGGGCGAGCCGAGGGTCTTGTTGCTGTCGGGGATGCCGGCGGTGAAGCCGGTCATGGGCGTGTAGGAGCTGTTGCTGACCTTCTTGATGGTGAGGTTGGAGTAGGCGAAGGTTGTGTAGCTGAGGCCGAAGCCGAACTCGTAGCGCGGCTCGATGCCGGCCTTGTCGAAGTGGCGGTAGTCGAGGAAGAGGCCCTCGGTGAAGTTTTCCTGCGGGATGAGGCCGTTGGGCTCGTACAGGATGTCGGTGCCGTAGTCTTCACGCGTCTTGGCCATGGTGAAGGGGAGCTTTCCGGAGGGGTTGACGGCGCCGTAGAGGACATCGACGAGGGCGTTTCCGGACTCCTGGCCGGGCAGGCCGGCCCAGATGATGGCAGTGACGTTGGGGTGGTCGACGAAGGACTCAACGAGGACGGTGCCAGGCGCGTGGATGATGACGACGGTGTTGTTGCAGTTTGCGGCGACGTTTGCGATGAGCGTTTCGCCGTTGTTCCAGAGGGTGAGGTTGTTGCGGTCGCCCTCGTTGCCGTCGACGGAGACGTAGCCTTCACCGGCATCGGAGTTGACAAATGCAAGACAGACAGAGGCCTGCAGGGCCGTGGAGTTGATCTGCGCATAGGCGTAGTCGTCGAGGACAGATTGGACGACAGTGCCGTCCTGGATGGCGCGGGCCTTGATGGCCTCGAGCGGCGTGATCAGGTAGGGGAAGTTTGCAGTGCCGGATCCCCAGCCCATGGCAAGAGTTCCCTTGTTGCAGTTGCGGTCTGAGCAGCCGTTGGGGCCCAGTGGAGACTCGCCGGCGTCAGATCCGAAGATGCCAATCTGTCGCTGACCGCCGAGAGGGAGGACTCCGTCGACGTTCTTCAAGAGAACAGTGGACTTAGCACCAACCTCGCGGATACCGATGTGGTGGTCGCCCATGACATTGACGTGCTTGTTGACGAGACCCCATCCAAGCTGGACTTGGTTGTGGAGATATCCATAATCACTGGTGGTCCATGAATCGAAGTTGGTCTCGGGGTAAGTCTCGGGGTCCTGGCCAACTTTGAAGTAGGCGGCCATGATGCGGGTTGCCATATCATCGAGTCTCCATTCGGGGAAGGATCCGTTGAGCACAGCGGCGGTGAGGTTTCCGCCCCACCATGAGGTTCCAGAGCCAAAGGTGTAGTCGCCGGGCATGCTCATATCCAGTCCCGCCAAACCAGAGTCAACACCAGAGTGGTGCGCACCCCAATCGCTCATGACAAATCCCTCGAATTTGAGCTCATCCTTGAGGAGACCGTTGAGGAGGTGCGAGTTCTGGCAGCCGTAGGAGTTGTTGATCTGCTGGTATGAGCACATGATAGCACCGACACCGGCACGAACGGCATCAGCAAAGGGCCAGAGGTACATCTCGTGCATGGTGCGATCATCAATGTTGGACGAGATGGCTTGTAGGACCGGCTCGTGAGTCCCAAAGCCGTTTGATTCACCGGATTGACGGAAGTGTTCCTGCTCATTACCTATCATCCTCAAGTTAGCTCAGTCTTCAAAAACACGGGTAACTGAAAAAAAGGAAAAAATAGAAGTGCATACCGATAAAGTGCTTCGCAGTAGCAATGACTCCCGCATCCTGCATTCCCTTAACGGTCTCCCACATACCAACACCCGTCAACCAGGGATCCACTGAGAACCCTTCCCAGTTACGACCACCCTCAGAATGTCTTCCAAGAGGACCCGCAACAGGTCCAAGGGCGATATTGGCACCCTTTCCCTTGAACTCCGCGCCCATATCGTACCCACGCTTGTACATGAGACCGCGGTCCCATGTTGCCGCAGCATTCATGCCCGAGGAGAACGCGGAAGCGTATGTTCCCATACGAACACCGAGCGGGGAGTCTTGAAGACACAGGGAGGGGAAGTTGAGACGAGGGATTGTGCCGACGTTTCCGACACAGTGGTTCTGGCCCCAGCCAGTGCCGGTGGTGAGATTGACTGGTAGTTCCTATTAGTACGGTTGAAACTAAAAGGTAATGGTAGTGTCAATCATAAAGATGACACAAAATTAATGACATACCTTTCTCCAAGAGAGTCAATTGATCAACAAAGTTCCGCGCCTTGACATAGGCATCCGCCCAATCGCCAGCACCAGAAGTAACAGGAGATGGGAAATAAGGAGGGCTCAAAGGAGCAATTGGAGCGCCATCGCCGGTGTAGTTCTTCGTGTACCCAAAAGCACCGATGGGGGAGAGCAGCAGCAAAAATGTTGCTGCCGATAGCTTGGAGCTCGACATGTCTGTTGGGAATTGAAGGGTTTGGTAGACAACTAAATGTTTTCCAGGCTGTATAAGACTGAAAGCCCAAGTTTTGCTGTGAGGATGGAAGGGGGAGGTGAAAGAGGTGAAACCGGACGAGCTTTATAACTTCCGAGAAGTCGCTACTACTGAGTGACACTAGGTGATCTTCTCAAAAAATTAGAAAGGCGGTCATTTCTGCCCGTGCCGGCGAAAGAGGAAGATCAACGTCATCACGATCATCTCGAGGAGGGAATTTCTAATCGCGGGAACATGGTGTCACCATACGAAAGTGGGCATACGAAAGTGATAAACCAGTTTCCTCGCAGCACCGCGTGGGGTCGTGACCTACACAAACACAAGATGTAGAGAATGAAAGTTAATACATACGCTCGGATACTCTCCCTACACTCCCCGGGGGTCAAAACCTGTGGAGTCCCCGCAATTCGCGTTTTTGAGTTCGCTCGTACAGGTATCTCAGCTGGGACCTGGGGAAGAACCCTGACCATAACGTGGAGTTGAGTAGTTGCAGGGGCGGGAAGTTACCGGTTATGTAGGCAGGCACCTAGATGGTAGTACAGGCATAAAGCCCAACTACCTATTTTTGCCCTGAGTTCGGAGAAACTTCCTGACCAAGTGTTAGATCTTCGCAGTGCAATGCCAGAGAAGGTAACGGTCATCGCTCCGCAGGATGCCGGTGACCCAGAATGTGGTGTTTACCTGTTCCCCTCACATGGCTATTGACTGGAGGATATAAGGTGTTTAAACGACTTTTTCCGGGGAAAAGATATTCCCTGCTAAATGTGGGGCGGGGTTGCCAGGGTGTAAATAAACGGTAAGCTTAACCACGTTGGTAAACCGTAATACTGGAAGATTTAGTAGACGTCACTTCTTGGAATCTCAAACCATGGTAAGTAAACAATGCGATTAATTATGTATGCTCTCGAAGATGAAGTCTCTGAAGAGTATACTGGCCGGGACATACTCGATGAAATTAAAACGTGTAATTGAAGTCAATTCAGTGTCGAATTATTATCGTCACGATGGTTTTACCAGGTCCAGCACCCCGTTTACCAGGTCCGTAGCAGCACTTGTCCAAAAATGACCCCGTCGGTAACAGCCTCGGCCCCTAAACCGATATCATACCACAACTATTATATTATCACCAGCCCCAGTTGCTATCCAGCTAGTATCCACGATGAGCTAAGTAGCAAGGGGGGAGGAACAACAATTCAGAGAGCCGCCGTATCCTTTTTTCTCCCCAGAAATCAACTACTCTTGCGTAGGAGTAGGTGTTAGGCACGTGGCCTAGTATTTAGTATATTTCCCTCATACTCTTTAATTTCCGAATAATCGTGGATATACGTATGTGTACTTGTAGGTACATACGTAGATTACACGCAAACCGGTAGATGTGGAGTATGCTGTTAGTCGAGTAAGTAGGGAACTAACTACATGACATTGTGTCGCAGCGAGGTCACTGCCCAACCTCAAAATCAACATGCAAGTGGTACCGGAGGGCAGCGCTCCGGAACCCCAATTATGTGGGCCAGATCTTTTGACGTTACTAAGTAGGTGCTGTAGTTAGCAGTTCTGAGAGAGCGTATAAGTTTTTCGCTAAGTTAATTTCATTTGCGCAAGGATAAAATCTGGTATCTGGGACCGCACGCTCAACCATCCCCACATCCCCACTGCCCTATAACATCCCGACGCAATACCCGGTACCGAGTTACTACCCATTTTTTAACCTCTTCGCCAAAGGTGCGCACACATTTCACCGAGGTTTGTCCGTGCATAATTGTAAAAAAATAAAAAGTCTCACCGAGGTGATCTGGTCATCTTCCCTATGCTATGCACGTATTGACCCGGGAATCTTAAGAGACACAACGTTTATGGAGTTCCGAGTACTTTACTTCCTTACAACGCAGGGTTTGGTATATGCATGCACATATAGCTTATATCAGATCTTTCCTTTGATCTTAAGGTCGCTCCCTTCTAAGCTATCGGAGTAATGATTCTACGAAGCCGAAGCGTGAGCGCGGGGAAGATCGGATGTCCCTCTGAGCACAAAATGTGTGACTTTCGAAGGGAAAGAAAGCGCTAGAAAAATATAAGAGCATTCGAGACTCTACATATGGGAAAAGTAACTACCTAGTTGGAGTTACTATTGTCAATAATTTGGCGTTGGCCGGGTTCTGCTTTCCGGTACGAAAGTGCGTGACCTACCTACTTCAGTAACGATTCAACACTGGAATGTGATCAATCATAACAAGAGATGGGTTTAGTAAATTCTCTAAGAAAGTAGATAATTCCCATGTAACTGACTGTTGGAATACTCAATCCGCCTTGAACAGCCTACCCCATGCCACTGTTCATGATGTCCCCACAAGCTCGAACGACATGATCGAAGTAACATCATGCAGGGAATGATCCGATTGCTCTATTACAGAGGCTGAAAAGGTTTTCTCCTCTCTTTCTCCAAAGGCTGAAGACAAATACTTGCAAGAGCCGACCTAGGCTCCCGAGCCAGGTCACAGAAGAAAAAAACAGCGGAGCATTCCCACTCGCATGGTCGTCTCTTAAGTCTTATTTCCTGTATCGAGTTTTTCCGCTAAAATCCATCTCTTCAATTTATACCTGTTAGTTAACTGAACTAGAAAATTAGTTTGCGCTTGCACTTCCTAATGTGGAATTTACACGATAACATCGCCCTGGCAGCTGAAACTATCGAGATCCTGAAGGAAGTATCATCAGTCAAGTAAATGGCTCAAGTAAAGATTCGGAAGAACTAGCTGATAAAACCAGGGTCCAGAAACGACATCCGATATCGGCCTTGTAAACTAGTTAGCTTTTATAAAGATACGTATGACGATAACAGTGATAGTAGGGTTAATATCTACAGGAAAGAAAAGAAAAGTTCTGTTAGAACCATTTCAGTGACCAAAGCATTTTTCCTCTCAAAAGGTCCATGTACATCCCTGGGCTCATGGGAGCTAGGGAGAATTAAGTTTTTGTGTGCCCGCATGTTTATGTCTTAAATAATGGCTATATGGTCTGAATATTGAGCTCGGCGTGTCGGCCGCGCCGCGGGAATACTTTTGCCCTGCACGCTCCCGAATATCGACCAAATGTAGACGCATGAGGTGTTTGTCATGATATATAAACACCGCTCAGAGATGTACAAATAAGCATCAGTGTATACTTTATCTTTGGTATTTCATTTTCTTCATCCCCTGGGTTTGAATGAGATAACTATATAAATTATTATTAGTTGTTTAGTCTTATTTTTAGAATTTTAACCTAGACATCAAAAGACAACTTACATGTACCTCTCTGTGTACATGTATTGTACTCGCCCGTCTCTTCTTGTCCTGAGGTACACCTCGGATAATTAGCCATACCAACACCCCACCTGTCAAAACCGCCAACACGGGCACCACCCCGATCCACGTTTTTATCTCCCCGCCAGGTACTCATACATACATTGTAGTGAGATCTTGAGCCGTAGGTGCCGAAGACAAGCGGTCAAGGTTCCAGTTTCTGTGACTTTCAAAAGACCTATATATGGAGACCTGCAGACGACCTGACCTGGCGGTTTCCCGCCTAGAAAGGCGGGAAAACTACCCTGTATATGCTTGCGGTAGCTTGGCTTCAGTGTGAAAATGTTTCACATTAAAGTTGTACCGGGCTTGGAGCAATAAGTGCTCGATAATCATCAGGTCTGTTGCACTATATCTATGTGGAGCGGATCGTTGGGAAAAGCAATAGCTAGAGATAGATAGATGTATGTATGCAGGCCCAGAGCCGCGACGTGAGTGCCGGCCAGAGTGGAGGCGGAACGCGGAGTCACGAGAAGGAAGATCCTCGGAGGAACCGCTTAGAGTCTTGGGGTCTTGGAGTCTTGGAGTCTTGGTGGCTCGGCTATATATATATGGTGAGACGCTTCCCGAGATTCGGAGCTGGAGTTTGTGACGATTAATTTGATAAGAAGTTGACAGTTCGCGTAGCCACAAGTCAAATAGCTTATTGGTGCTTGGGAAATCATACTACAAGTAGGTACTTTGATAGACAGCTGTAGAAGACTACATGTACATGTATCAAAATATTAATTCGAAAGAAGCCGTTCCTTTCTACATCTTGGCTTTCAAACGACATGCAGCCCCGCCGTGTCTTCTTTGAGTTGAGCCGGGCCGGGATCATAAGCTCGCACTCGGAAATATACATGTATCCATGTGACATGTCACGCAATCACACATAAAATACTTGTGGTTTTGAAACCAGGAATTTCATTATCGTCTCCTGTCTTTATATACAGCCCATAGATTCCTTCAAATAAACACTATCTGTCCCTAGCCCTAAGAGCTCGAGGTTCATCGCAGAGTCTTGGATATATGCCAATGATTGTAGCAAAACAGATCGTATATCGACCTCACGTGTCGCTACATACATGTAGTTAAGCTACATGCATGTAGTGATCTCATTCTTACGCTTAGGCTGTATCTGAATTTGCTGAGCCTATTAGATTAGGATAGCTACGTATTCTTATCGAATTCATTTCATGAACGCGAACATGTACGTAGCGAACGGCTCAAAACAGTTAGATATGCTGGAATTTATATCATGTCTCTTCAGAACCTTCATATTAATGATTAGACTCGCGAACATAGTACATGTACATGTAGCTACCCACTAATTCTGTGAACGTTCGAGAAAACGGAGTAGATCGTAGTGGCACTTGTTTTTTCTTTCTCTCTCTTGAAGCATATGAATGTTCAATTCATGACCATATAAACTTACTTCTCAACAGGAGCACTTTCGTGAATTTAAAGCGCTTTACTACGTATACATAATGACTCAATGACCTTTTTATCCTCTAAACTGACATTTGATATTCTCCCTATATATATATATGTTCCGTCCCAGTCACGAGTATATCACATTGGCCAACAGGCCGGCCCATTGCCTAACTGGCCATCCTGTCGATAAATATTGCCTATTGA